GGGTCCTTCATTTTATGTGGGGGTAGTAGCAGTCCTTGTAGGTTAAATTTGCTATATGTCTATACAGATTTTCATGGAAATCTAAATTTTAATTTTCAAGTTGTATTTGTTTGGAAGGCACATCTGCAGATCTGCTCTGCAAATGCCCATTTTACCGGGTTTGGACCAGCCCAAAGCTAGGGCCCTGGAACTCAGATTAGATATGCCAGTATTGGGAATCGGAAACCAGGACTGGATGTACAGGCAGGACTTGAAATCAAGCATTCTGATGAGGGATGCAGGAATTCCATGGGAAAGCCAGTCATTGTGTCAAACACTCTTATGAAAATCTAAAAACTGTCTGAACAGGACCAGTACTAGGAAGCAGCAAGTTAAGCCGCTACCTGCAACACCAGCAGTTCATACTGGTGCCAGTTCTGATCCAGCTTCCTTTAAGCCTCACCTGCGCCTCGCCCTGATCCAGCCCCTGTTATCAACCTGGGAAAGCAGCAGAAGATGGTCCAAGAACTCGGCCCTGCATTTATGTGCGAGACCTGCAAGAAGTTCCCAGATTTGGCTAGGCCTAACTCCCACTGTTGGAGTTATCCGCAGTGTGAGCCAGAGGGTAGAAGATCTCTCTTTCTCTCTGTAACTCTATCTTTCAAATAAGTAATAAATACTAATTCAAAAGGGCGGCAGGGGGAGGCAGGGTTGTAGCTTAGTGGTTAACGTCCTAGCCTTGAATGCACTGAGATTTCATATGGATTCCAGCTTGTGCTGTGGCTGCTCCAGTTTCCATCCAGCTGCTTGCCTGTGGCATAGGAATGCAGTGCAGGACAGCCCAGAGCCTTGGGACCCTGTACCCACGTGGAAAACCCAGAAGAAGCTCCTGGCTTCGGATCAGCTCAGCTCTAGCCATTGCAGCCACCTGAGGAGTGAACCAGTAGATGGAAACTCCTTTTCTCTGTCTCTCCTACTCTCTGTAAATCTGACTACACAGTTTGAAAAAAAATGAAGGTGCAGATTCACTCTAAAAATTAAGTTCTCCAGGCTGGCCATTCAGGCAGATTTCTGGCATCTGATAAAAGATGTCTCTGTGTCCCTACTCTGCAACTCTGTCTTTCCAATAAATAAATACACCTTGAAAAATAATTTTTAAAAACACTCTGAGTAATTATTTTTTTTTTACTTTTCCAGTGAAGAATCCAAGACTGGCATGCTGCTTAATTTGACTAGTCAAGCAGATGACAGAGGCAGAATTCAAAATAAGCTCACAGACCCCCTTGCTCATGCTCAAAAGCATATGCCTGCCACATGTAGGCATTGCTGCAGGATGTTCAGAGACCCTGGAGATGCATCTTCACTGTCTGCCTTCCGACACTGCATCATTTGAAGTATAGAATAGTTACACACAGCAGAAGCAAAGCACAGATGCCCCTTTACAAAAAAAAAAGCGCCAAACAACAAAACAATAAAAACATTATTTCATAGTGTAAATTTTCCTTGATTGGGACATGCTTAAAATCCTAGCAGAGCTAACTTGCTACCAACAGATGGCAACAACAAACACACCTTAAGCGGTCTGCAGACACACATCTAATGCTGAGTCTAAAGCATGCGTGGTAGGTGGAGGGTTTCATTGTACGTGCATGTACTGGAAAGCTCACGGGGTGCAGTCGTGAAGAGCACGTGGATGCCCACCTGCCGTGTGACTGTGCTTGGGTTCACGTCCCGGTTCTGCTAATGCACACCCCGAGAGCAGCAGGTGAGCGCCCAGACCCTTGGATTCCTGCCACACACAGCAGAAACCCAGATGGAATTCCAGGCCCCTGGCTTGAGCCCAGGCCCAGGCCCAGAAAGTGTGGGTATTTAGGAAGTAACGCAGTGGAAGGATGAACCTTCCTCGCCCTCTCAAATAAACACAAATAAAGACACATTAAAATAAATAATTTTTAAATGGGCTATAATAAAATGGCAGTAAGAATTCGTAAAAGGCAGTTTCCTTGAAAAATGTCACTGTAATTTACTAAAGAAAACACCCAGCTGAAATTGTTTTTGTGAAATAAGATGAAGAACTTCTATTAATGCTAATTGAAATTCTCATATCCACACATACCATGCATAAAATTTACTTCTGCACTTACTCTTTCCACTGTTAAACTGCAATAAGTCCATGCCAAACGTGCTAGCTTTTTCATTTGAGCATCCGTGCGTGAAACTTGATGCTTTTTTGTGATTGTATTGACAAATTTAATGCATACGAATCTCACTATTTGCAAACAGACAAGGTCTTAATTGTCTTTGTTCAAAAAGGTGAAAATGGAGTCCCCGGCTTAGCTTAGGAATTCCTGTAACAGCTTCAGTTTATCATCTCTCCATGGCTGCCATTTCAATGATACCCTTTGCAAAAATATGGGCACTAGCACATGTAACAATATGACCCATATTTAACTTCCAGAATGAGTAAAAATAATTACAACGATTGTCCCCCACCTCTTTAAAAATACAGGATGCTTTGAAAAATTCATGTGAAAATGCAATTAAAAGACATGCTTAGTTAAAATAAATTAGTATCTATACATTTTCATAATATGAATTTTCTATGAATGTTTTGGATCTATTTTGTGCACGAGTATCTACATTATATTACGATACTGTTAATTAGTGGAGTATTCAAAAGGTGGACTTCTGAATGTTGCTGAAGGACTAAACTATTGCAATAATGTGGGGGAAAATGGTGAGGGAAAGAATAGAGAGGGAGAGGGGAATCCCAAAACTTACAAAGCTGCATCATGGAAAGTAATAATAACAATAATAATAATATATACATATATTTGTTATATATTTGTCAAATCAAATCCTGCAATGCTAAACACTTTTAACTCTATTTTAAATGAAAATATGTGATTTTAAACAAAAGACTAAGCTTCGTTATTGTCACTATGCAACAATTAACTCCAAAAACGGAGTTATTAATTATGACTTCTTCCCAATCAGAACCAAAAATGGCTACGATTCAGTCATAAAGAAAGTTCTCGCTGAAAAACTCCAAATTTTGACTTATAAATATTACGATTCTGCAATGATTATCTCTCAAGGACACTCTGGAAGACAGGTGCTCACTTACCTTGTGAGGTCCAGGAAACACTGGGCTAAAACCCTCCGCTGTAGAGTGAAACGTCAGGTAAGAGATGGGTCAAGGAGATTTTCTTAAGCATTGGGTAAAGAGATTTGTGTTGCTTGTTTTCTATTTAGGTATTTCCTTCTACATAAAATCATGGCTGCGGGTTACAGGAAGAAGGGCTATCTGACTGGAATTTCTCAGAAATTAGAGGAAATGTCACCTATTTTATCATTTTAGCTGAATAAGAAGGGGCAAATCATTCATTCAACTCAGTCATCAAAAACTATTTGTATATAAGGAACATATTACCCCTTGTGTCTGAGAAGGCAGAATATCTGGGCAGATAAAGATATTTAAATATTTAAATAACAACAAGCAAGTAAAAGCATGGTATAAACCAGCAAAGCAGAAAACAAGAAATATTAGCCAGTAAACTCTGAATGATTGTAAATTACTATAAAAATTCAAATACCAGTATTGTAGTTTTCCATTCTACTCTGTCTTTAAAAAATACTATTATGTTATGCAGTTTAAGTGTTGAATTAAACTAATTCTGCTGATTCGTATAAACAAAAATGAAAAAAAAAATTGCTGTTTCTGGCAGTCTTCAAATAGCACTAAAGGAAACAGTTTTGCAGGTGAAAGAACTAATATAAAGTCAGAGTTAGGAAAGGAGAGACAAAGAGGGATAGATAAATACAGCTGGGATCCACAGGCTCAGGTCCCAGATGACTGCGATGGCCAGGGCTGGGCCAGGTTGAAGCCAGGAGCCAGGAACTTCATCCAGGTCTCCCACATGGGTGGAAGAGGCCCAAGCACTTGGATCTTCTTCGGCTGTCCTCACCCCGCCCCAAGCCCCAGGACAATAGTGGGAAGCTGGATGGGAAGTGGAGCAACTCCACAGGATATGCCCACATGACAGATATCACATGCTTGCTTACAGTACCAGCCCCCTGAAAGGATAATTTTAAAGCAGCGAAATTAGATGGCTTCAAGATTATTCAAAAGTTTATTTCCATTTCCATTGTCATTTCTTATAAAAACTGAGGTCTCCTTTTCTCTGTACTTTTTGATTAGGAACATTTTTTTTCTTACGTGTCAGTTCATTTCACTTAAAAACACAGCCTCCACTTGACAGTATTGCTGCTTGGTTGGTCACATTATATACTTGTTGTACAGTGAATACACGGGGGCAGCGAGTCTGAAGTGAGACATCAACCTCATCTTTTGCCATGTTCCACGTGGGCAGTATTGCTGAGACACTTCATAGTTAGGAAGCATCCTGCTTTAGCCACGTTTCTGCATACTTCACTGTAAGAACCAAGCAGCTGATAAAGGGCAAACACCCTACAAAAAATGTGAGCCAAGGTCTGAGACAAGAACCTCAAGGAGCGGAGTCTCTTGCTAATGGGCTATAGCTTTTTAAAGATTTGCTTATTTATTTGAAAGGCAGAAGGACAGAGAAGCAAGGAGAGACATGGAAAGAGACAAACCTTCCATTCACTAGTTTACTCCCTAAATGGATACCCAGTTAAGTCTGGATTGGAGTAAGCCCAGGAGCTAGGAACTCCATTCCAGGGTCCCCACTGGGTGGCAGGACTTCAAGAACTGCAGGTACCATTTGCTTCCTTCTCAAGCATATTAGTAGTTAGCTAGATCAGAAGGGGAAGATCCAGGACTCAAGAACTTGCATTCTGACATGGGATGCAGGTGTCACTATCGGTGGCTTAGCCTACTGTGCCACATAGCCATCTCTTATGGATGTCTAGGTAACGTACATTTATTAGCTACCCAGGTCAGAAGAAAGACAACAGAATCCAATCCAAACGTACAAACGAACTATTGGAAATCAGACTTTAGAAATTTCCCCACAGATCATCATCAAAGTCACACTTACCTGATCTACTATCCAGAGGTCCAAAGTCCAAAGAATATTTCACAACGTGGTAGTTATTCCACACGTAAAGTAGGTTGTCCCTGGGATTGTAATCCACAGCTGCTATGTATTGGTAGGAATTAGGAAAGGGCACATCCACCAAACTATCCTTGCTCTGCTCGGTGTTGTAAATGTAGTCAATCTTATTTCCAGTGGCCTCATTGTCATCATCTTCATACACAGACTTGACCACATACAGAATCCCACAAATCATAAAAGCATTGGAAGCTGACCTCTTATCATACGCAGTATCCCATGTCCCTTCGATCCGGAGGGTATAAGGGTTCAACTGGCTAATGACAATTTTGCCATTGTTTTGTTCTGTTGCATAGATTACCCATAGCCCATTTTCATCCACTGCTAGGTCTATGTCCGATTTGCCTCCCCAGCGGTAAGGGGAGGTGTCGTGGTAATTGGCATTGGCTATGATGGCCTCTCCGCTCTTGATCCTAGTCCTCAAGTCAAACTTTACTATATTCCTGGTGCGCTCCTTGTTAAAGAACAAAGCTCCGTCGTACACGACGAAGCCCGTGCCATCCACCCTGTGAGGGAGCTTGTAGGTGGTCGTTGGCCTTCCCGCGATGAAGTCATCCTTGGAGGAGTACTCAGTCAGGGTGTCGGTTCTGTAGGGAGTCCAGGGCATGTAGTAGATCTTGTCCGAAGCCTGCAGAGGGTCTTTGCACCACGCCCCAGACTGGTGGTCCGACTCAAACAAGTGCTCACTCTGATATACTCCTTTCAGAAGTCCAGGACAAAGAAAAACTGTTGGGACGGAAAGAGTTAAAAATAACAAAGGTGTTAATTTACATTCTGACAGATTTTTTTTTTTTACCAAATTGAATGCAACTCTAACAAAGGATACCCACCACCACTTATTTTGCTGCATTATTTTTGAGAACAAAAAGTAATTCTGTACACTAATTGTGGCTTTTTTTCCTCCAAAAGACATTTTGGTTTTGTTTGCTGAAAAAACACTGGACTTTTCCCAAGCAGCTCTGCTTTCTGGTCCATTTTACTGTTGTAAATATGAATTACATACTTTTAGATATATATGTGATGTGTCTATGCATTCTATAGACATGACAAGCACACATGTTTACACAGAGTTTTCAATAGTTCACTGAAGAACATATCTTATTTGGAAGCAAAAATATATTGTTTTCATTCTCATAAAATTCGCTGTTCAATAGTTGAATTAAGCAACAGGCTAATAGTCTATATATTCTTCATAATATTTTTAACAAAACAGAAGAAAATCTCTACACAGGTAACCAAATTGTCTTGCATTAAGGCTCTCAAAGCTGCTACAACACACACAGAGCATGCAACCCACACAATTAAAAAATGAGTGATGGATGGATACTGGAAGGAAAAAGAGAAAGTAAGAAGAAGAAAGGAAAGAGGAATAAGGAAAGAAGAAAAGGTGAAAGGTTACAGAAAAAATACCCAGGATCTAGATTTTAATCAGTTAAAAATGTCCTGTTAAAAACAGTGGTATTGGAACTTAAAAACATGTACCTTTTACTGTTACATGAAAGAACATTGAAAAACAAGATTACTGGCTATCGTATTTTGCTGCTCATACTTCAGAATGAAAATGGGAAGGAATCATCTGATTCCCTCGATTTTTAGCATGACTCAGTAGCGTAGTGTGTAAGTGGCAGTGAGAAAGCATGGCTGATTAATCTGTGAAGTGGGGAGCTGCACGGCAGTGTTTCCCAAAGGGTGTCCTGGAAGCATCTACTTCAACTGGGACAGTTAGGAGTCGCACAGAAAGAAAAGAAGGGGTCCTTCATCACATCTGTTTAAGAAAGATCACACTAAATAGAGCTGTGACAGAGATTCTAGCAGTTCATACACATATGTGAATTTCAAAGGCAGCAGAGGGAAGGGCGAGTAAATTTCACAAACTTGAATTTGATAATCATTTCACTTTTTTCTCTCGAGCCTTTTGGAATGTATTGTTTTGCTGAACCTGCAGTGGGAAACAGTGCTCTAATATATTTGCAAAGCAAACACAGTGAAAAATCATGCAGTCCATTGTTAGCTCAGAAATGATGAGAAGTATGCTGCGTGAAGAAACTGGAAGATCCCAGGGAGTCGTAGGTTGACCCGTTTTGTAATGATTACAGGATTATTGTCTCAGCATTAGTGATCAGCTTCTCAATAGCAACTGTTAGGCACAAGTTTAGTGGAAAACAACCTAAAATGATATTCAGCTAGATTTTTGCCGATGACTGGAAGGGAACGGGCACTGCTAGAATGCTCAGGGTATCACTTTTGAAGAAATAAACTGCTGGTGCAGAGGGGGGAGTTGGCTGCTAACATTTCCATAGCAAAGACAGAGAGGCATGGCCAATTTAAAATCAATAATTTTGAAGATTATAGGAGCTTCGCTTTACAAAAGTATCATTTGTTGTCAAAACTGCAAATATCCTGTCTGTTCTAGTTAATCTCCACTTCTTGGTTACTGTAGTAACTCTCTTCCAGGTGTTTCAGAAAACACTTTCCTTTTGCCCTAGTCACTGAAGACTAGAACAGGGGAAACCACGCCAGAGCTATGGAAAATTCTCGAGCATAGAAGCAGAAACAGATCCACAGCAATCACTACTGGCATCCAGTGCCCTTCCAACTACTTTAAAACAAAGAGGAATAAAACACATGATGGAAAATTTCCCAATATTAAACTGCTTTAGGATACAAGGATCAAACCAGCAATAGTCAATAAAACAGATTAAAGTGAAGTTGAGCAGCAGAAGTAGTAAATAAATTTTCATAAATATAGATAAGAATTAATAACAAAATTATTTTTATTAAATGTTAAACTGTTAAAAAACTTAGCCTATAAATAGTATATAATTTATGAAAGGTATTTAATTACCTTTTTGTTCCACTTCTATTGGAGAGAGAGAAGTAAAGAGAGAAAGGAGAAAAGAGAATAGATTAATGGTACGGTATTGGCCAAGAACTTTTTATTCACCTCTTCCAAACTGAAAGTAAATAATTTATTTCACTCATACTTGCTTTATTGAACATTACATGACTTTCAAATGAACCCGTTTCTCTAAAAGAATTATTTGTTAGATAATCATAGTATAAGTTTTAAAACACACTTGAAAAAAATAAGGCAAACATTAATCAAGCTAAGATTGAATGAACATACCGTTCCAAACTATAGATGTAGGAAATGCAATATACATCTTAAACAACACCAATATCCCAATTTCAAAGGCAGAACTGCAATAATACACAGAAGGCTTTACAACAGATTTGTTATAATCTTACTTACAAATGCCATGACTTATAGTGCTACATAATACACCAGTCTTCCTTTCCACATATCACAAAGAAATGATCTCACATTGGGCAACTCTGCCATTCAACCCATGAGGCCTAAAAGTGTCCACTGTCTGTCAGTTTAGAGGATAAGTACTAAGAGCAAATGCTATTAATCCAATAAGTGGAGTTAGAATCCACATTGAAGAGAGTCCCCCCTCCCCCACCACCACACTCACCAGCAGAAGGAAAAGATGTTGAAGAATGGGTTCAAATCATGAATGAAAAATAAGGCTATTTCAGTGAGGGGAATGAGGTATTTAAACTGTAGTTATAGAAGCATGCAAAAAATTCTATTTGCATAATTACATTTGGGTAAGATCTTTATGCTGCGACCTAAGCCCACATGTCTTTAGTAAACCACACTTACTGCTTTTCACCAACCTTTTAGAAATCTGTTACCTCACGTGTTGGAAGGAAAATCAGGTATATTTGCAAAATTGTGCTCAGAGAGTTACAGACAGGGTTATTATTTATTTCTAAGATTCTTTATTTCAAAAATTAGACAATCTTATTTTTAACCATATTGGTAGGACTTTGAAACTTCTACTGTGCTGTCATTATGTGTTATTATCCTCAATGATTCTTTCTTGTGTAACTGCAGCTCATCAGACTGTGCTGTCACACCAGGCATGTTAAAACCTTTATCTACAGAGAAATTGTAGTACATTTACTCCATGGAATCCTACTCAGCCATTAATAAGAATGAAATTCTACCATTTAAAACCAAATGGTCCCAACTAGAAACCATTATGCTTGTAGAAATAAGTCAATCCCAAAAGCACAAATATCATATGTTTCCTCTGATATAAGGCAACCTTCATGCAAATTCTAAGATCAATAGCCCCCTCGATATGATTTTTGCTTCAACTCACGAGTTTTGATCCTTTTTTTTCATTTCTTCAAAAGAGTTTATCTTCCTAAATTCTTCCCTGACTCATAGATCATACCGTAGCATCATTTTGTCCAAGAATGCTTTTTGTTTCCTTTTCCATTTCTTCATTGGACATTGGTTATTCAGTAGCATGTTATTTAACATCATGGTGTTGTTAATTTTTTTAAACTTTATTCCTGTTGTTGATTTTGCTGCATGGTTTTTCATTTAAGGGAATGTATAGTAACTGTGTAATAGAGACTATCATGTCCAGATATGAAGGTACAATGCATTATGTATCTCTACTCCCAAATCAAAGATGAACTCCTAATGAAACTGTTAAATACATCTTGACAATAGGATGCTGGACTGTCTGTCATTGTATCAGCAATGTCAGTATACACTTAACTACCAAAATGATGCATTTGTGACTGCTATGAAGAACTATATTATTATAATAATATAGGAGAAGTCGGGGGGATTTGGGGAGGAGGCAAGGGAAAACTCAAAGCCTATTAAATTGTATCATAAAATAGAAACTAAAAACAAACACAAGCATTTACAAGACACACTTGATGTACTGACTAGTTTAACAAATCCATATCCACACGGGCAAGTGTAACTGAACTTCTGAAAAGCAACTTAATATGTTCAACTGTTCGGACTTATGGTCTGTTTGAATGAATCTCTGGGATTAAATGGGAAGTCACAGAATACTTGACATTTTTTATTGCTAGATGACAAAGAGGTTTTTTTCCCCCAACAACTAATTTGGTCTTTGACACAGCTTTACATATAATGTGTATACCTAAATCTGTGTCATTTTGAAAATTATAAATGTAGGTAGGCATTTTTATTTAAAAACATGAAGTATACTTCCATAGAGCTTCATATCAAGTCATGACCAGTCTTATTCTTAAGTAAAAGTCCTAACTTCATTGTGACATTTCTTTTTTCAACCATACTAAATGAGGAAGACAGGCTATACAATGCATTGATTATGTATGTATTATATTCTGTAAAAGTCAAATAAAATTTTCATTTTTTGTTTTTTAATTTAATTTTTAATATTGTTTACATAATTGAGAACATTCCCATGTAGATCACCAATTAGGATGGGGAGAGTTGCAGTATGGAGGAAGATGGGTGGTACAAATTTTTCCGTTTTTTTCTCCCATGTCCACACTGGGCAAAGGTGAGGGGCCACTCTTTGTTGTCACACACTGGGGACAGGGACAAGGAGTGTTCTTGGATGATACTTGGGAAGAATGCTCAGAGGATGTCGTTTGAGTGGTTTTGATAGTTCCGCGACATTATTGGCTTTCTGGTAATATGGTTGAGAAAATCTTTCCAAGGTCTATTGGCTGATCAGGTCCACTTTAGTGCACCCCCAGGCCCAGCAAAAAAGCTTGGCCAGGAGAATGGTTCAACCTGTTCAGCTTTCCATCCTCTGACAAGGAACTCGACATCCTCTACCTGCTAAGATGATTTGGCTGTCAACCCTCCAGTGTGCATCTGGGCATGCTGTCTACTGCACAGACATCAGCAACTGAGGAGGCCCAGTCTCAATACGTGCACTCTAAGATCAGACCATATGTATTGTGATTTTTTCCCGCGGCCTGGGTTTGAGTTAAGTCATCTGGTAGGGGAGTCACTAAGGAACTTGGGTGACCTCAGACTTTACTGTTATGTGAGCCAGCCAATGCAGGGTTGGGCTCGGTGCATCACCTGCACTGGTCAATGCACATACAGGTGGATACAGCTGCCAAGTCAGTTATGTCCCAGCCACATCTCTGTCCTGTGAACTAATGTTTGATTTGGCCTAGTTCAATCCAGGCTGCCATAGGCCCAGTCTTTCTGTAGGTGCCTAATTATGGCAACCCCCAATAATCACCACCCAGTCTACCATAGCCGTGGTTTTAGTATGTGCAGGCATGTCCTGAAGCCTAGCCCAGTCCTTCCTGCATCCCATCTGGCTCTCATGCATACCCATGGGTGCCACAGTTGAGCTCTGCACAACCTGTCCCCAGGCCTGGTTCTCACATATGCTAACAGATACTGCTGCCTTTATCAGCCTTGCCCGCCCTGCAGCCCTTGCTCTCATGCTCACCAATCGAACTGCAGCCTAGCAGGGGGCTGCCCACAGTCCCCCCATAGTCCTGCACAGAACCCTAGATCTTGTGTCTGCCAGGAGGTACTGTGGTCCAGCATAACATGATTTGCACCCTGTCCTGACACTTACCAGTGGATGCTGCAGCCTAGTCTGGCTGGCTCATACCCTCTCGTGTGCAACAGCAGATGTGGCAGACTAGCCCAGCTTGGCTTGCCCCAGGACTGTTCCACCTCTCAGTCCCAGCTCTCATGATCATGAGTGGAAACTGTAACCAAGCAAAGAAATTCCCAAAGTTTTTCTACCAGGCCCACTCCCAGCACCAAGTCTTGTGAATGCCAATGGGTGCTGTGGTTCAGTCTGAGATGGCCCAACCTCAGTATCAATATTCACCAGCAGGTGCTACACGCTGGCTCAGCTTAGCCTGCACCAAGATTCAGCTCTTACCTGTGTGTGCAGCAGTCTAGGCCAGTTAGGCCTGCTCACAGCCCTCATGAGAACTGATGGGTATTGTCATCCAACCCAGTCTGGCCTGCACCCCATCCTGGCTCTCAAGCATGCCAGTGTGTGCTATTGATTGACCCACTACAGCCTGCCTCCATGGTGGACCTGCCTCACAGATATGCCATCAGGTGCTACAGCTCTTCCTACCCTGGGCTGCCATGAGCCCAGCTGTAACACTCACCAGTGGGAGATGCAATCTTGCAGGATATTTCCACAAGTTCTCTTTACCAAGTTCACTTTAGGCCCAGATATCACATGTGCTGTTGGATGCTACAGCCTAGCCTGACATGGCCTGCTCTCAGCCCTGGCACTCACCTGTAGATACTTCAGTCTAGTCCAACTAACCTCTACCCATACTGGTTCCCTCCAGTGGGGGTTACAGCCTAACCCAGCCTGGCCCATGCCCAGACCTGGTTCTACATGAACTGGTGGGTGCCAAAGCCTATCCTGGTCTGTCCACACCTATTTTGGCTCTTGCAAGTGCCAGTGAGTACTGGGGCTTAGCTGAACCAGCTTGCCTCCCAGCAACTAGCTTCTGCACACACCAGTGAGTGGCAGGCAACGCTATTTAGCACAGCCCAAGTCTCCCAAGTGGCTGGGTACCTTGACCTGATCTAGACAAGACCTCTGATTCCCCTCTTCCAAACCTCTCTGTCTCTGCTCCCTCACCTATCTGCAAGTACAATGGCACAGTTTGTGGAAGACCCCAACAGTCATTCCTCCCCTCTCAAACATGCCCTCTGCTGTTACCATTCCAGTTAGTGCCCATACCGCCTTTCCCAGGCACCTAAAATCTCCCTGTGCCTGGGAGCCAGGAAGGTATGTCCTGGTCAAGCATTCCCCACATTCTCCACATATCTCAAAAAAAAAAAATAAAATAAAATAGGCAACTATGCTGGCACACTGGTATAGTTAACACACATTTGGCATTAACTAGGTCCAGAGTGCCCACCAGGTAATAGCTGCTTTTATTCCAGCACTGTAACACCTATCTACATACAAGGCAACCTAGGCAACTACCTACAGCTGGCACAAGTTTTCTTCTTTCTCCTCTTCCCCTTCTTCTTCCTCC